ATACAAAAATTCCTGACATAGGGCTACCGCGGGGACTCATGACAAAAATAAAAAACGTACTGAATCATATAACATATAGATTTAGCCTGAGATAAAGGCGACGCACCTGTTAATACATTGATAATAATTTATTGCTGCAAAGAAATATACCAAACTATACTCGCGGATCACTGTGGTAGGCTTGAAAAACATTCTTGATCGAACTAATTTTTCTAATTTACTATTGTCACTATTGGTCAGCCCCTAAATTTCATTTTATATTATTGAAGTTGTTTTCAATACGCGACGCTTCTCATAGGAGGCTAGTTTACACGTTATATACGTGTATTATATTCATTGGTTAAGTGTCTGTCGGGGCCTACATAACACTTCTTTTTACTTTCCAAAATAAAATCGTGTCGAAAAATCGTAGCGTGTAATCCACTTTTCAATTTAACGTGTTAGCAGAGCTGACTGAAAAATAGAACTAAAAAGTTTCTTTTGTTAGAATAAAGTTCATTAAGGTTAAACTTACGACGTTTTATTGCTGTTGGTCAAAACTGCCCGCGCATAGCAGTCCAGTCAAAAAAAGGATTCTGCACTGCCCAGCCAGATCAACCTACTCGTATGTAGTATGCAGGGAAGTAAAGGTCCTCAGCGAAAAATTTCGAGAAAGGGCTTCTTCTTCTTTGCCATGTGCTCATTCGATTTTATTGCTTTTAAGGATTAACCTCTTAGTTTTTGAATAACTATTTTGATGAAAAAACTTCTCTGTCTATTGTTTTGAGCTTGTTCCTTCATAACATTAGCTCAAAACACGATCGCGAGACTGCAGCATCACTTCTGCGAAGACGTCGCAAATTGTAAAGGATTTTTACTTTGATTTTCAGTTTTTGGACACTTTTCGATACGAAGCTAAAGCAGTTTGTTTTCAAATTGTCATGTTAATGACGTCCATGTTTTCATTAGTCGCAATTCGGCCGGATTGAAAAAGTACTTTTTACCTTGAAAATGACTTTGGACGTAAAAAAGTAGATTTCTTCCGCATTCAATTTCACAGAACATTTCGCTTGTTTCACTTTGTGATAGCTTTGATGCCTTGACAGCTGCGACAGCTTTTGTGTTATCCACCCAATTAAACCATTTAACCCATTCTAAAAAGGATTGTCATTGGCTAGTTTAAGAGCGTTTTATGAAAACGAACACTTGTTCGCTTCGAAAATAAAGTTTGTTTCGGAAATTAGAAAGTAATGCGTTATCATAAAAAACAAAGAAACCGTGACTGTGCTGTGTTCTGTTAATCAAGAAGTAGGGGGAATCTCGACTGCGTCTCGTGTTTCCACCTACACCTCTTTCGTGCTCTAGCCGCTTCCTGCGTGCTTTACAACAGAACAGAGCACAGTCGAGGCTTTTTTATTTGTTAGATTGAAAAATGCGTTTGGCTCGTTATTTCACGTATTACATTTATTTGTTTTCTTTTCCCTTACTAATAATTATGTCCGTTTAGTTACATTGCTCACATTGTGGGTGGTTCCTCCCAAAAGGCTAGGGTACACAGTCCGTATTGGAATAACTGAAACCAATTTCGGAAATGCACACGCTTTAGGTATCCCAACGATAACCAGTTAATAGACCCCTTCCAGTGGCTTTTATATTAGAAGATAATGCCTGTGGCTTATAGACTATCAGAGATGGTCCGAAAAATAAATAATTGGCCGAGAAAGGAAGCTTTAAAGGCAAATGTGAAATATTGAGGATTATCTCTCAACCAAGGGTCAAGATCCTCCAAACAACCAGCAAGCCAAGGTTTATCTATTTTATAAGCCTTCGATGTTTTACACCCATTTTGAGCATTTAAAAATGTTGGAAGAAAAACAGAGTCGAAAGTCGCGGGTACGGGGTTTCGACGTCGCGTTGGGAAAAATGATTTTCCGCAAAACTCAAGTTAGAGTTCGAGGTAACTGAGTAAAAAAGACTGACAGGTGGGGTCATATCGAAGGGAAAAGGGACATAGTATGAGTTATAGAGGGGGATTTCCTCGGACCTATCCGAGTTCGAGTTATACGTATAAATACGAGTTATTCGTACTCTGCTCGTGAAGCACATTTTTTGGTACAATCTTTGCCGTTTTTATGCATGACTACGACGTGAAACTTCCAGAAACTTTCTAATTACACGTTTTATGGAGGAAATGTCGCATGTGTTCCGTTTTGCTTTGTTTTACACTGCTGCTTATTTTCACCTTGGTGGACGCTAGCATTTCTCATTTTCTCACTGCCCCAATAAAATTTTCATGTTTTTCTTCCAACAAAATTGGCTTCCTTCAGGTTTATCTCTCGCTCTAGCTCTTGCTCTGTTATCAGCATCAAGGTAGACATTAAAATTTAGTCGAAAGAAAGACTCAGAGGGATGGGGGGGGGATTCGGATTCGGATTCGTTGCTGCTGTTTTCTCTTTCTAAAAGTCAGGGTGGCCATGCAATTTACCACAGAAACGCGCGAGTACTTGACACGTGAAATTTTAACCCTTTCTTACATGAAGGGGTGGACGTACGTGCGGACGATTTTTTCAGAAATAAAATTTCTTGGATGCATAGATAATAAAATTTTCTTACCGATGGTGCCCCGCTTCGCGCACCTCAAGCGTGAGAGTGCCGCTGATAATAATAATATTAATTAAAAGTAATTATAATAGTAATTATAGCAATAATAAAATAATAATAATAATAATAATAACAAATAATTATAATAATAATAAGTCAGAAGAAGACCTGTGTACAACTGTGTCTATTGTTTTAAGCGCAAATTCAGGCACCTTCTCGCCGGTATTTGTGAAGAGTCTTCTTCTTACATCTGCCGTGATGGGATATATCCTTTGTAGATTAAACGATTGCGAGAGTTCGAGTTCCTTGCTTCTATCCAGGGGCCGTGGCGAATTCGAAACTGGACTATTCATCCAATGTGTGATGCTACCGGTAATAACAGGATAAGGTTCTGAAATATTTCGCGTGTTGACAGCGATTAAGCAATGTAAATGACATGTTTTTTCAAAGCATATGTAATTATGGTCCCACATAATTATCATCTTCATGTAATAAGTTCAGAACGAATAACGCTAAGCCTGAGAATATTGCATATGGTGAAACACAACTTTCTGTGTAGTCAGAACTTGAAATAAAGATACTCAAACTAGCACTACTTAGGAGATGGTGGCTGAATAGTGAACATTTATTCGCCATAAAAATTGGAATTTTTGGTTGTAACTTCAAACTTATGGAGTTGAAAGTTGAAAGTCTGTAATAAATCACCCTTCCTTTCAAAATAAGTTATAGTTTCCCTTCTGACACCCTTACAGCTCCTGTCCGTTGTCAATTACAAGGGGATGTGTTTTTTTTACAAGGCAAACAATGAAACATTATTGAATAGGTTTCTTTTTCTTACAATTTCTCCGATATCGATCAGATTCACAGGATGTGAATATTTCCCCCATTTGAATCAAGTTATGTTTAAAGATTCGAGGAGAATTTTGCTCGCCAAGCAAATAGAAGTGTAAACCTAAGAAACGTAGTAATTTAGGTTAAGGGTTATTTTCACTCGCCTGCGTCTTTTCTTTACACGATATCATTTTTTTTTTGTCGACTTGTTTCTTTCTTGTTTTTCAGAATGCTTTCAGATAATCCCGTGGAGAATTTTGGATCACATGCATTCACAATTCCAAGAAATGACCTTGTAATGTAAGCAGTTGACACACTAAAGTAAAAACAATGTCTTACTATCCACTTCTTCTACTGGATCCTGTTTTTTAATGTTTGATTTCTGAAATAAGTCCCCATTTTTTGATATTATCTATAAAGGGTCCTGAAGGTGTAAAATGGGAACTGGAATTCGCCTCTTTATGCACTGGGAAAACGGGATTTACTGCACTGGGGCTGGGATTTAACCACTGGGAAAGGCATAAACCATTTCTAAAAGTGAAATGGGATTTCTATCCTTTCACGATCTTCGACTATATTATATGACACAATTGCTCAAGTGTGCCTATTTTTTTAAGTAAAAGAAATAATATGTATACGTAGACCTCAGTAGACACATAGGATCATGTCAGTTTCTTTGCATTCGCATCCAATGCCTCTCCACCACCCAATTAGCCATTGTAGCTCGTCACCAGGGTCTTTTTGTTTTCTGAGGTCACATATTAAAAAACGAGAAGACGTTGGGGCGATGGGAATGACATACGCACTTTTCCGCGTGACAAAGATCAAAATGGCGCCCGATTTTGGAAGTGTTCCACCTGGCTTGTACGCCTTATGGTGAAATAACAATGATGTTTGCGAGGCCTCCCTTCAACTCAGATTTGTTAAATTTTGGCACAAAAACCATTCAAATAAATAACAGTCCAAACACTTTAATCTGCGACACAGATGAACGAAACATACCTGGTTCAATTGATATATTAATCGCTCTTTAATCAACACAACCAGCACCGCACCAATCAGAAGCTGCGTATACATTTTTCGGAATTGTGTAGTTTCGGGGCAGGAATTTCCTTTTTCCCCTCCCCCTTCTTTGTTATGCTCTTGTCCCAACTTTCTAGAAGACCTCGGGCGGAACCTCTTGCTTAGGTCAGGTGGAGGAAACAGGGAAAAATAATCCAATAAATAAGCAACAAAATAAGGAAAATAATCTAAGGAACAGGACTAAGGAAAAAATGCGGAGAGTGAATTAGCAAAAGCGGGACGCATTTCAGGAACGAGCAGGTGTCAAAGACAAAGTTTGGTAATAACAATGAAATCGCTCAAAACTAAAACTTTGTAGAATAGGTTTCTAGGTCAGCAGTCCTGCCTTTATACTTTTTTTTTGTTTTGTTTTGATATTTTTCATTTTTCCAGTTACTGTTGCTAATATTGCTATCAAAAAAAGAGTACATAACAGATACACATACGACGCTAAAAAATCAAAACCTTGAAAATTCGATGATGGACCATAATCATATATTGTTTCTTCCTTTTTTTTTTCAAGACATATGATACGAACAAAAATAAAGACTGTCAGTCTCCGATCTTTTTACGGCATTGACAACCTTACGATTGATATGTAAGTATGGTCTATGGTGCATGTAATGTAGTTGCATATTAAAATATATAATGTCTTTGACTGAAGCTGAAAAAAAGGCAGCTGTTTTGTCGGCGTCTGATCCGTTGCGGCCGGGCTCTTTGTCATGCGAGTTTGAGTGCAAAGTTATTCTTGAAACAAGGATCTGCTGTTTTTATTGTTATTTGATTATGACTCCTATCATCTTTCTATCCCTTATTTCAATAGAAGTTTTAATGAAGGAAAAATTTGGACTATGAAATTCAGGGATAATGAACGTAACTGCTCAATTTATCTGTGAGTGAATTCATCATTACAACAACAAAGATATCAGAAATCTGAATATGTGCAGTTATTTTTTCTCTATCATTAGCTCTTAGTTGGTGATTGATTTTTCTTTTCATAATTTTTGTTTTTACATTAGGGGATTAGGACAGAATGATTCTGAATATAGCGTCATTTCTGATATCGTCAATTCTGAAAAAGATGGTTGGGTTAGAGATCAAATAAAAGCGGCTTTTAAACAATCTGGATTTGCCAGGGAAAGTGTTGGACGTGAATTACTCCCATGTGAATTTGGGACGTACGTTAATGCTTCTGCTGAAACCATCAACTGCACAGAGTGCCCAGCAGGTAAATTCATTTGCAGTTTATGAAAGCTGCACAATTATATCGTCGGGATATGTTTACATTGTTAGTTAGTCCTGTGCTCATTATGGTTTAAAGGAACTTACATGTAGTATTAGATGGCGTGTGCTTATTCCTGGAATACGAAAGTATCTATCTAAACACAACGATAAGACTCTGGTTGATACTTTTTTCCATGTATAACTTAATACTGTAAAGAGAAAGGAACCAATAAGCTACACTGTTGTTCGAGGTCACTGGTAGCATATCTTCATTGAGTCCAAACCTATATTTGTTTGATTTTGGAGTAAAACGGTGTCACTTCATGCTGGAAATTTCAGATACAGTGTAAGTTCCGGCGATGAGGAAACGTACACAAGTCAACCAAATAACCGACAGCAATCCTATGATTATTGAGTGGACAGTGATGAGGAAAAATCGCTTTAGCTACAACATTTGGAAAGTCATGTTCGCCTTTTATACTAAGATATTAGAAATACGTATAGCTGTTTTTCACTTTCATGCCATCGAAAATAAAAACCAAAACCATTCAATAGATTAAGTCCAGAATCTGGGAAATGAAAGACTTTTAACATACAAAGGCCTTAATCTAAATTTATAAAGCTTTTGTATGGAGACGCCAGAATGTTACACCTCTGGGCGGCACCAACATGGCGGCCGAAAATTAACAGCAACGTATGTTACCGAGTTTTGAACAGGGGTCTTTTTTGCATGAGCATGCGCGACCGCTGAACAAGCGATGTGCATGGAGGCTCACCACAGGGTTTGCCTTCATCAAAATGGCGCGTCTCAAAGCTATCATAGCGATTATTTTGCTCGTTGGTCTTGGCGAATGTGCTCGTGATTTAACAAAATGGTAGTTTGAAAAAACTCTGGTCTTAACAAAAGCGAAGTAGACCGGCTTTAACATACACGAGCTACTATCAAATTTCATCTCCCCACTTGACCTGGACAATAGCGCGCGTATATGTAGTGCCTGGAGGATTGCGCTGACCTCTTCAAAGTCTAAACAAAGTGCAGAAACGTTTTTTGATGCAGCAACACTTTCAATTTTCTTTGTTTTGAAATGGGAAAGGAAGAGAAATATTAAAAAAAAAATAGCAAATTTCAGCGAGTGGGTTCGAAGTGCGCGAAAGCCGATGTTCAGTTCAGCAGTGAATTAATATATGTTCTACAATTTTCCCAGCACTTTAAAGCTAAAAAATTAAGAGCACACGAGAAGTAGATTATTCACCTGGTGAGTTGTTGGTGGTAGTCACTCTGTATGTTTCGAACAATAAAAAAAAAACGAATATCAATGAGACGCAGTCAAACTGCATTCAATAGGACCGAAATTGAAGTCCAATCTTGAGACCGATTTTGATGAAACAAACAGTTAGGTTTCCCAAGAAGTACAATAACCATCTGATGCCGACCAAAAGTTAAAAATGATTAGAACATTTAAGTTCTGGCTAAAAGCAAATTCCTGTAAAAGATGTGTTGCAATGTTAGTCCACGCAAAAACAAGAAGTTCTATTCTAATTCTTAAGGCAAAAACTTTCTATTTCAACCGAAAACGGCGTGGTAGTCGCCCGCTGATCGTTATTAATCCACTCCCGAAATATGGCTAAATCAGCTATTAACAAATTATTGACAGAAATCCTCTACGGCATCGAGAAACTGATTTACATCCGATTTATAGACAAATACTAAATAAAGAACATTTTGCTCAATAGCTACGCATCAGCAATGCATTCTATGCTAAACTTTGCGGTTCTTAACGGGGAATCAAGACACGAGTCGAGCGCCAAACAACAACAAGCAGCCATGTTCGTGTCAGACATCCTTGAGAAACTTGCTCTTTCCCCTCGTTCAGCCCATCAGTCTCCACTTTAAATCAACAGATCTTTACTTATTTTGTACAACGAAGGTCTTTCCTAAGTTCCTGCTACCATTTCAATCTCAAGCAAGCTTTCAAAGTGAGCAATTTGGTTCTTATGACTATGCAGCACGGTCGCTGTCACTGGTCGCGTGCTCTTTGACAAGTCAGCGGTCGCGCATGCTCATGCAAAAAAGACCCCTGTTCGAGTTTTGTATTTCGGTAACACTTTTCCCAATTAATAAAAGGACTGCTCAGGTAGCATAATTAGAAATTCAAATGTACTCCATGACAAATCAAAGAACTCTTTCGAAGTGGTAATTTGTAAATATGAAAGGTTTTTGCTGCTGTAACACTTAATGAAAGGTAAAATTTACGGGATCAATCATTCTTTATTTTTGAAAATTGGTGTCGCTATGTGAAAACTGTTGAAGCCACAAATGTACTAATTGACTACAAATGTAATAAAGCCCTCAGATATAATAAGAATTGATCACTAATGTAATTAAACGACCTTAATGCTATGAAAACCATTTATACTCGATTTTAAGTCGGGACACAAAGCACCGCAGCGCTCTGTCGAAAATTGGGACTTAAAGATCCGGGACGCGACGGCTGTAAGACGCCACAGGAAGTAAATTTTCAAAGAGGAGACATGTTGTGCATGCTCAAGCCGTTGTCCTGGTGTCACCACGTCGCGTCGAGAACGCGGGTTTTGCGTGTTTGACGTTCTGTACAAAACGTGAGTATAAATGTTCCTGTGCTTAAATTAAATGATGATATATTCCTCTAAACATGTAAAATCAGCCTTCTAGGATCATTGGACGTAATTTCTGGCGACATTTTAGATCGCAGAGATGGAAGGATTTTGATTATTTTTAAATTTCTTTTAGGTGTACGAAGCTTATAAAATGGCAGCGTCTTCGACTTCGACTTCGAGCGAGGCTTGCAAGTAAGTCACGAGCTAAAACTGCAAAAAGTGAATGCAGGAGTCTTCTGCATACTCTTCTCGTCTCTCGTACTGTTGCAATTCTCGATTTATTGCGTTCATCTGCCGCTAAAAGCCAATTTTAAGCCTGTATTATTTAATTTTATTTTATTAAACTGCGTGTATTTTTATGCTTCCCTTTAGTTCAGTAATGTTTGGACTCATGATCATGAAGCCATTCTATGCATAGAAGTCGTCAGTGTAAATCCCTACACAACTAAGAAAGGGTCAACACAAAGAAGCAGAATGTGGGAAGAAATAGCAGACACCTTGAACAAATGCACTGTGCCGAAATTCAGGGTTGATAAGCGATCAGTCCGAGACCACGTGGGAATCCTTGTTTACAAGCATAAGAAGAAACTTCTAGCGGAGGAAAAAGCAACTGGGATAACTCCTGATGAGCTAACGGAACTAGAAAACCTATTGGATATGATCATCGCGTTGGAGGGAAGTGGCGAAGCGGAATTACAGGAAACACCGGAAACAGCAAGCAAAAAACGTCAATACGATCGGGATAAAGCGGAAGATGTTAGACTAAAGGCGATGGAGTAGCTGTCAGAGATGAAGAAAAGAAGTTCATCAGCGGATGAAAGCGATGACAAACCGAAGCGTCAACGAAGAAGTGGAGGTGATGCTATCGAACAAAGCACAAACAAAGCATTTCTTGGACTTCCTTAAATGATGCCATGGCTATTTCTGCGAAAGAATTGCTGAAGAATCACACTGATAAAGAGCACTTTGCAGCCGCGTCGTGTTGCATCGCGACGGAGATCTTAACTTTACCTTTCGCGCGCAAACGACGGCGTTCTACAGTTCCAGTCCTTTATCAGCCACCGCGTTCTAGAAGTCGTCGCGTCCCAGATCTTAAAGTCCCTAATAACAATATAAGCGCCGACCTCAAACAACCTTAGCAATACGCGCCACAAATGTCTTATAGCCAAATTCGTTGCATCGCGCTGCGTGTTTCCAAACTACGAATGGGTTTTTCTGTTCCGTCAATCATTTGAGTGGGGGTGGAGTTAATGCAAATCACAAGGCAACGCACTCTCCCAGCTTGGCCAGCAAAAACAAAATTGAGAATGACCCTAAACTGCTCAAGAATAGCGAACGAAATCGCAATGATTAGTGGAATTTTTGTTGAGGGCAGGAGGCAGTCATTGCTTTATTCTTGCAAAAGACAAGAATAAGAAAGATCACAAAAAGCTTCGAAGAAAACTAATCGATCATTGCCTGAAACAATGCGAAACAGGGCGATCACAAGCAGCGAAACTTGAAAAACAGAAACAAACAAAGTGGATGGAAATACACCAATCACAAGTAAACATTTGTTTCCTAAGAGGTCCGCTAAGATGATTGACGGAACAGAAACACCCAAAATTCCTTCGAAGTTTGCAGAACGCGCAGCGCGATACAACGAATTTGGCTATAATTGACTACAAATGTAATAAAGCCCTCAAATGTAATAAGAATTGATCACTAATGTAATTAAACGACCCTAACGCTATGAAAACCATATGTACTCGATTTTAAGTCGGGACACAATGCACCGCGGCGCTCTTTCGAAAAATACAATATAAGCGCCGCCCTCAAACAACCTTAGCAATACGCGCCACGGCACTCTTTCGAATTTACAGCGTTAATTGGGTTAAATGGGTTTAATGCAGTAGAAAATAAAGTTTTTACGAAATAGCGCCGCAAACCTTATTTCTTTTCCTCTTTTACGCGCGACTGTTACTAACTGGGCGGTTCCATTTCGAAAAAAAATGAAATCTTTTATTTTTTCGAAAGAGCACCGTGGCGCTTGTTTGTGTCTGACTTTTATTGAAGGTGGCGCTCTTTCGAGCAACACGGTTTTGATAGCATTTGAAGGTTTTAATTTATTCAGTATATTCTTATTTACCAATTTGTAGTACAATTTAAGGGCTTCATTACATTTTTGGTCAATTATTACATTTGTGGCTTCAACACACATATATTAAACTTTATTATGATATTAAATTTTGGGCGATCAGAATAAAAATCACGTGACAATGAGGACACGATAGTTTTAGCTCTAAATCGAATTTCAACCCTTGTATCGGTATTTTCTTTGAAAATGCTTTACCCTACGTATTACCTATCTATAAATTAGATAAACAGCAATTAAACCAAAACTCGTTAACATATTTTCTCTAAATTAATTTTGTTCAGTGCTGCGACTGATCGGCGTACTATGAAATCCGCGAATTTCATGTCCATTGAAAACAAAACTTTTAAAGTTGTTTAACGCAAACGCATGCCCAAAATTAAAGCAATGTCATAGATTTGGATAATTTCTTACTCTGGGATTTGCTATTTGTAGTGTTGTGTCAGTTTAGGTCTTTAGTATGCGTTTTGTGAACTAATTTTAAGTGTTATGAGTATTTGTGCAGCTGATGGTATTTAAAGAGTGGAAATTATTTATTAAGGGTCGTCGTTAGTTGTTTGCTTATAGCCGGCGTACTTAGGTACTTACTTAACACTTTAGGCTCGAGTTTACAACAACAACAACAAGTACTTCCCATGCAGCACAAGATAATTTTCCGTGCGTGGCTGCCCATGCCACCGAAATCTTTCCCGAACATGGTAATGTTGTAGAAAGGGATAAAATTGAGGAAAGGGAAAACAATTAGAGAACATACGTTTTATACGCGAGTTCATCAGACGTCCGCTATTTAAATCTATTTAGCAATTGATAACATTGCCAATTTCATTTAATTTGAGATAGCGTGACACCGTCACTACCTCTTTTCACCAGTTTTCTCCCGTTCACAACATTACCATATTTCAGAAAGATTTTGGAGAGCAACCAAGAGCGGTAAATTCAAGCCAATTTTCAGGTATAATTACTAGTGTTTTATAAAACTGGTCCAGACTCATCCACCTCATTCCTGCATTGGTTTATTTCTCATATTTCAAGAGATAATAAGCTAAGAGAGCGAATCCCCCATACATGGCCCTGTTCCTATGAAATATATTTGAAATCTATTTTTGGTTCTGGAACTGCGTGGCTGTTTTAATGACGCCACCTTATTGGTCGGTTGGAACTGCGTCGTGTAATTCTATGCTTGACGGGTAATTCATTTCACTAACCATCACGTTGTAAGTAACGTAACGAGCGAACTTTTTGATAAAACTTAAATTGTCTATCGTCAGTTCAATATATCTTGAGAGTTGAGGCATTTAATCCCAGTAAGTTTTCTGATGTATCACATCTACCTATTATTTTCCTTTGCTAGTAATCTTTTTTGATCCTTTATTCTTTCAGGAGGTTTCTATTCGGACACGAAGGCTTTTGTAAATGACGGCTGCCGAAAATGCACCATTGGAACTTTTGTCCATTACAATGAAGCACCCGGGAAAAGACCGTTTGACTGCAAGCCATGTCCAGAAGGTAATTCTCTTAAACTCCCACTCTTACCGCACTATGGAGCATAATATTAGTTATCATTTGATCCAAATTCAGCTTCCTTCTCATTAGCCGAGACCCTAGCACGTGACCTGCAATTAACTGCCTACAAATAATTGTCTGCTCATGCGCAACGTCGTCCAACTTTCTTTGCCTGCAAATAATATTCTCTCTATGCCATCGCTTTTGCGAGGAAATGGCAGCTTCCCGAAGAACGTTCAGCAAACGCTCCTTTAAAAAGGTGTTATAGTTATATGTATGTCCATATAGTATTTAGCTATAATTAAAACTAAAGGTTACAAATATGTGTGTAATGCTGCACGCAGACACTGGGTATCTGAGAAACGGTGAACTGAAATGCACATGCATGCAATTAGTAGGATAAAGGAGTACAGGGGAGTCACGATTTCTTTGTGATTTTGAAAGTGTTTACGAGCGCCACAATGAGTAAAAGGTAGCGCAAATTGGAACACAACGAGAGTGGAACGATTTTAAATTAAGTTATGAAGACACTACTGCATAAGCTTGCTAATTCCAATCATCCTGACAAAACATAAATCCATTTTACAACGCCTAAAAAGCGAAAGGACTGACAAAGGAAACCACATGAGACCCAAATAGTATTTTGCCTCCACTACACAACAGAACACACAAAACAACACTTGGAGCATGGGCGTGTCGGTCAGCCAGGCCCAAACACTTTATTAACTCACGTGAATGATTCCACTGTTACAGTAATTCTAAGAACACGCTACAGCCGGACACGTAAACTCGAAAAAACCAACTATTGGAAAAATAGGGGCCGTGTAACCCCAACCTATACGCTATGGCGTCCCTTTGGGGTTATAAGGCGAAACTAATAAAATAAAGCCTAATAACATGAATACGAGCAGAAAACGAGATGCTACATAAAATAGCTAAGAAACAGGGACCAATACAGAAGGCAACGAAATTAAGGCTAACAGAATAAGTGAAAACTAAAGTAAACAAAGCAAGTTGACGCGGCGAGGCCGCGACCATAGAATGACACGCATAACGAAACGGTCACTATATCAAACCCCGTAAACGAGATCCCTCGCGCGCTACTCTAGAACCCAGCTCTCCGTTCTGTGTTGGCAAAATAATATCTTATGTCAATTCTAATTTACACAAATTATATAATGTGCTGCTCGCCTGGGGACTCGAAGCAGATAGGTGGCCAATAGCTACAAGTGTACTGTCTAAGGAAGCTGGACTTATTTAGGGACGGACCATTAGAAAACTTATGCGGAGTTTGGGCGGGCGAAGTACAAAAAAATATTCGCGCAAGAAAAATAAAATGAAAAAATTCATGCACGCTAATTAATCCTAAAAAGGATTCATTCTATGGCCTAAAAAAAATTCATACAAGGAATTTGATAACGAAAAAAAATTCCTGTGGCTCGAAAATCTCCCTCCCCTTCCCCCCATAACTTTTCTAATGGTCCGTCCCTAGGGGTAAGTTAGAAAGGTGTGAGAAAAGAAAATAGAGACAAGAGACAAAATAAAAACAACAACAACAACAACAACAAACAACCACTTTCTTTTTGTGAAGAAAATAGTCAATTTTTGGTCCATTTTTAGAAATAAAAGCGCCACTCTCAACGCCATTTGGGACCTTACGATACCAAGACGGCGACGGTAACGAGAACGTCTAAAACACAATGGTTTTTTTTTATGAGGAAACCAACAACTCTGCATGTACTGTACATTTCTTTGTCGTCCCTGCACAACTACGTTGTGAAATGTCCAAATGACGTGAAAACGGGAATGGCAAGGCTATAAAATGTACTTATTCTCTCTGAACTAGGACACGTCCCCCTCTTTTAGTTCCAGCCTTTAACCCGCGTGGAGTTTAGTTCCAACTTCTATACTTTCAAGTAACTGGGTGACTTTTTTTTTTATCGGCGTCGCCATTTTCATATCGTAAGGTCCCGTCTAACCCTTTGCCGTGAGCCACTTTTAAGGAAAAAGCCGCATTTTGGACCAAATCCTTCTTTTTGAACCGTTAAAGCTTTAATGCAAATGTTAATGCATCCAGGAAGAAAAATATGCATGGGTCCATACGGACCTAAAATGGCAAAAGCGGACGACACAGAGTTTTAACCCGCGTAGAGTTTCAGGAGATGATATATCGCCTTGCAACTTTAGTTGAGTGCTCTCTAAAGTTTCCAAGTGCTTCTTATCTCATATGTATTATAAATGGTCTGCTTGGCAGGCGCAAAAAGGGAAGGGGGATGGGAAAGGGAAAAAAGTGCAAAAGCGAAGAAAAGGGAAGGGAACTCCAGCTATAAGAGCCGAAGTTTTTGCCATTTTGTCAACTAATCCGAAAACGTCAACTGACAATACGTGACCAATGACAAGTAGTGGGGCTTCCTAGCGTGGTCCCAACCTAATTACTTTGTTTACCGGGAATTGTCAAGTCGAGACGCCTTTTTTCAACTAGAAAACATTTTACTTTTCTTGCTCCCGCAGCAAACACGACCAACATAGACTTTTTTAACTGCTCGCAGCTTACGACAAACAATGATCATCTTGAAAATGCTCACAAACAGTCGCCAGCCTGAGACTCGAATAATGAAAGGCGAATTATTAACAATAGTCAAAAAGTTCAAGGAATAGCTTTTACCAAAGCTGCAGCTCTCTCTTTACAAACCATTTAGAAGGTCATTCAAGACGGTGTATGTTTTTGCGGAAAAGGCGGTCTTGTGAATGTCGGCATTGCAGATGTCTGGCAAGAATCGTTATCGAATTGAGTCGCCGCTCGGCGTTTGAAAAAATCCAGTATACAAAACCTCCTAAGCATCTCTGCCTGCTAAACAAGCTATTACAGACAGTTGGTTCTAGTTGGTTCAGTAGATCACATTTCCTTGATGCCTGCATCAAGTTTGTCTCTCACCAATTCACGCCAGGATACACGCCAATAAGTTACTTATTACGGCTCAGGCAATCAGGAATTTGCGGACGCCAACGTCCGCAGAAATGAACAAAAGGGGGTTCTTATAGCAGGCGTCCCTTACCCTCTCTCCCCAGTCCCCCTCCCTTTTTCCATTCCTCCCTATCCTATGTCCGGTTCGACGCCTTCTTCGCAGGCTAATCATAAATGTCTATCACATATATCATCTGTATTCTTGATATATACATCTATGTACACGGTAGTTAAATTTCTATTTCAAAAAATCCAAAGCAGCTTTGCTACGCTAACTTCAATGCGTTGCTCATTTGTGTTAAGGAAATACGCTTCTGTACCGTTCATCGATCTCCTTGCGCTTCATTTGGGCCGTATCATCTGGGCATTTTCTTCGTTATTGCTCAAATTTTTCGCGACCTCGAAAACTAACAAAAAAACGGAAATAACTTAGATTGGAATATGTACTCGATTTATTCTTTGTTGTGACTTTAAAAACTTCATGAAGAGGAATAAAATGTTTACACATGGCACAAGCGCACTATACTCAGAAATGCGATGACTCTGTAGTTGTTCCTAGGCATGCTGCTTTCTTCGGTGCCAGTAAATGTAAGTGGGGGAGCAAAAGTTGGGAGCAAAAAAAACTAATGAATAGCTCATAAATAAATTGCCCGGGAAACTGTTATTTCTCAAAGATGAAAGGACACCGTAAGTGAAAAGGGGAACGAAGGAAAAAAGCAAAACATGCGTAGGCTAGTACTATTTTAAACGAGAATTTTTTCCTTAAATAAGTACATGTACGTTGTAATGAATGATGAAAAATCTTCTTTTATAAGCCATGGCCCTTGGTATAAAAATGCGGGAAACTGTTTTTTCTCAGACATGACGTGTTTTGCAGCTTTTATATGGGTATAAGCTCTCCTGTGACTTAAAATCACTAAGTCGTGACGTAATTATGCACGTTCTATCTCCTGCCGTATTCATTGCCTAACAATTGTAAAAGTTCCCAAAATTATGCAAATTCAGGGCATTTTTAAAACGCTCGCACGAAAAAACGAAAGCTAATCTATAGTTCATCTTCACAAGGTTTGTTGCATATTTCTCAAAGTTACTTTCAAGCTGTATTTTATCTTGATCTAGGCTTTCTTTCTCTTTTTTACACCCGTGCAAAGAAAGTAATGCATGTTTCGTGCTTTGTTGACACTGTGAATTTTACCATATTTCAGAATGTTATAGCATGAAAGGTATATATATTTAGCGGCTGTGAAAGGATTCTTTAGAAAGAACAATTATTCTTGTTTGTCACACTAAAAGCTTGTTTTTGGTCCCCTAAAGCGAGCGCGCTAGACGAAAATGAATCAAGTACACTTTAACGATTTTTCCGTTCTTAATGTATTCAGCCAACATTGATAGTAGTAACACATTCTCCGCATCAAGAACCTTGCTGTTGTTTGTAAAACCACTTTTTGTTCATTAAAATTGATATATTTTAGCTAAGGAACATTTTGCAAAGCATTCCATCTTTATTACATACGTTTTGGTGTTCTGGTGAAGTGTTCTGGTAAATTATAGATTAGGCGTGACAAACTTATGAAACAACAGGTGGTAAAAATTTTCGGCTCCTGGTCCTCCTGCTGCATGCCGACTGTCGGTCCTGCTTAATCCCACATTCTGCTTTTCTGCTTCCAAACCATCGAAAAAGACAGAGAGAAAGGTAGAAATAACCATCCGAGAAACATGTATTGTTCTTTAACGTAAAAATAATTAAATATTCAGAATGCCAGCAAAAAGTTTAAATGGAGGGCAATTATAATACACGAAAAGGAAACTTCAAATGGCCGTAACCATATGAGTGCTCGATGTTTTTTTTTCTTTCCTTGCTATCTTTTTTCCATCATCGAATTAAAATTAGGTTGCTTTTGCATTCAGCTTATCACAAAACATTTGCGGATTACTTTATTTGGAAAACATTTAAGTAGTCACTGAAACTTGACTGGACAAAAAAGATGTTCATACTGTTGGGCAGTTGCCCTTAGCAGATAAGCTCTGATTTACGATCTGATCACGTCTTCACTTAATTCAAGAAAAAAGTACTTACTTGTTTGTAAACCAGAAATATAAAGCGATTGTCGATTGTAACCACAACACATTCGATGTGTTAAAAAACTGTCATGCCGGCAACCAGCGACGCGATGTTGCGTGACAATTATCACGAAATTAAAATGCGATACACTTGTTTGGAAGAAGTACCCCAAAAAGCAAATACGGACTGCGTTTTTTTTTTTTGTTGTTACGCTGTGGTTACCAATACCAACATTTCGGCTTTGGAACTGTGTCTTGAAGATCTTCAGAATCGCTCATCCTGGTTTGCCTCAAATTATTTGTCCGTCAATGCCAAGAAAACCCATGCGATGATCCTGGTAAGCACTCCCATGAACCTGCTCTTCATATTGGCGACTCTGTTATCGGAATAAATGGCTTCCTGAATATTCTTGGTGTTCATATCGACGATAAGTTGTCCTTTAACGACCACCCATTAAAGTTTTTAAAGAAGGTCTATGCCAAGGTTGGAGCTCTGAGACGACTTAGAAAGCTGGAACCTGTTGACATGGCACTTATGCTGTACAAGGCTTATATACGTCCACACCTTGAATATTGTAGGCCATTATAGTTAGGGATTAACAAAACTTTGAACAAGAAACTTGAATCGGCAAACTATTAAGCTTTAAAAGCCCTCTTAAATTTCGGAAACAGCTTAGATATATGATTCCATATTGTCGCTGTAAACATGCAATCACTAGAACATGGACGGTGCTATCAATCTCTTATCCTCCTTTTTAACCGTATAAAACGAAATAGGGCTGACTATATTTCTGATTTATTCGAACCTCGTATATTGCTCTACAATTTAAGGAACAGAGATCACAATCTCACTCAAACCTCCTATAATACTAGGGCGAATATAGGCGAAATTCTATCTAGAGGGGTTCGGGAGCATGCTTACACAGAAAATGGTAAAAGTTAGAATTACTGGGTTAATTTCTACCAATTCTGAGATTGATTTTGTCCAATTTTGATCACCAATCCGCTGGTTTTCTGCACAAAAATGTACATGTAGCAAAGGAAATTGTGTTTGCTTTTAACATAAAGATTAGAAGACTTAAAAATCCATGGTATTATTGGTGGGGATATAGCCCACTCAGCCTAAGGCCTCGCGGTCTCTGACCAAGATTGGTTACCACAGATGTTGTAAATGTAAAGAAAAAAGCCATTTGCGAGGGAAAGATCCTTATGCTATGATCCTTACGCAGCCCAGATAATTTCTGGAACGAGGAAATTTGATCATGTTACACCTATTCTTAAGCAGTTACAGTGGCTGCTAATTATTAAACAACTTGCGGTTAGGGATGCTACCATGGAATTTAAATGCTTAAATAGACTTGCACCCCCATATCTTTGTCAGAAGTTTAAAACAAGAACGGAAGTGGACAACTGCAACACTATGAATAGGGACCGCCTACATATACGACCCTGTAGGACGGCTGCAGGTCAGCGCGCGTTTACCTTCAGTGGCCAAAAGCTGTGGAATAGTCTCCCAGACGAGTTTCAGTCTATTACTAATTTAAATGTATTTAAAGTCTTGATCAAAAACGATTTCTTAAAACATAAGCAAGCGAATATTAACGTTAAAAGCCGACGTTTCGGTATCATCATGACACCATTCTTAAGGCAAAATGAATAAATAATGCGAAGATTTGATTTCTATAGTCTCTACAAATTAGCATAATAACAAAGGATCACAAGTTCTTCAAGTGAATACCTTTGCGCGAATCGAGCTTAAAAATCAAGACCACTTTTCAGCCCGTGTTCATCAGCAGAAAACTCAACGAAGACCTTAAATTTCGAGAAGTCAAGCCAGCCATTGTTAACCAACAATGTGCGATGCAGGATATGTTGGTTATACTCGCGGCCACCTCCACGAACGCGTTGATGGACACAAACAGAAATCGTCGTCAATTTGTAAACATTATCTTAGCCAACATAACTCGGACGTACCACCTTTTCTTTCAGAACAATTTCACGTGCTCACTAAAGGTTCTAACAAATTTGATTGCCTAATTAAGGAGATGCTCTTTATAAGAAAACTCAAACCATCCCTAAACGTGCAGGCGGACTCGCTTGTGATCCTTTGTTATTATGCTAATTTGTAGAGACCATAGAAATCAAATCTTCGCATTATTTATTCATTTTGCCTTGAGAATGGTGTCATGATGATACCGAAACGTCGGCTTTTAACGTTAACATTCGCTTGCAGATGTATTTAAAGTTAAAATAAAACAGCATTTTTAAGGGTATTTTTGGAAAACTAAGTTTTAGATATTTGACATTGTAAATTTAGCTAAAAAGCCTTTTTGAGAAGATTAATAAAGTTATTATTATTGCCCCCGCAGGGATTTCGCCCAGAAGGCGAAATCCCGAGGAGGCACTCTAGTAACTCGCGCGTATATTAAGGAAAGTACTTACAGTTGAAATATACAGTCATAAAGTCAATATAGAAAGAATCTCGATTTGCTTGAACAGGGGCCGCGAGGAATCGGTAGGTAATGATGACGTTTCTATTGTTTGCGCCCGCAAGTACGAAATGGTTAGGATGACGTAAAGAAAGAACATCCCCAAGGGACCGCTTAGGTAGATTTTGTGGCATTTATTGTGCAGTCATACTTCGACGCTCTTTTGCGTTACGCGGTTATCAGTGACATTCTGTGGAGCAGTTGTTTCAGTGAAAGTTATGGACCAAAATTTTAACGACACTCGTTAAGCGCAGAAGAAGTTATAAGGTGCGTATAAATGTGTATATATAAATACTTGGAGAGTTTGTTAGACACGAGTTCACAAATCGTTCATTGGAAACCTTGCCAGACACTCTTTCTCTCTCTTTTACCGGAATAAGACTCAGCTCCAAACAAGCAAGACGAGTGAGCAACTGCTAGCTTCTCACTAGCAGAACGATGTACGATTACAGAAATTCGCCAACAATGAAATTCTGTGCTGACTTATTCCCTGCTCACAGATGTCCTTCCGCTATCAAGTTTAAAATAAGACTAGAATGCGCGAGTGTGAATTAATCAAACGTCCCTTTATTAAATTTCTAAGGCTTCCTTTCCGGCAAAGAAAATGAACTGAATGTAAAAAGTGAAAGAAAAATGGCGAAAAATTCAACTTCTTATTAAATCTTTTCTTATGGTTTAGAATAAACTGATTCTCGAAACTACCAGTCCAGTCCAGTCACTGGCAATATTTTCAGGTCAGGTGCATGTTCTTTGCATAAGGAACCTTGTCACTTGGGCCTGATTAATACAAACGGGTAAGTGGCGTTTACTGAAAATTCGAGGACTTCGAGAAGTGAGATTCTCTGATATCTCAGGTGACCGGAGTATTCGGATCTGTATCGCACGCCAGTGTTTGTTTACAATTGGTGATAACAGAGATTACGAGTAAATTAACTTTCCAAAGTTTGGCTCAGAAAGTTTAGTCAAACTTATTTTTTTGTCAAGGGCTGCTGCAGTCTGAATTCGAATAATATGTCGCAATAGAAACCAAACACTGAGTTTTCCTGGTTGAAAGAGTGTCAATCAACCAAGAAAAACAACAGCGAGCAAAAGGAGGTAAAATGGAGAAACCCCTCAAATCACACGTATACGTTTTCGTCTAGCGCGCTCGCTTTTGGTGGACAAAAAAGGCTTTTAGTATGACATACAGGAAGAATGGTTTCTTCAAAAGGACCCTTTCACACCGGCTAAATATAAATACCCTTGATGCTATAACATTCTGAAATATGGTAAAATTCACTGTATCAACAAAGCACGAAACATTACTTTCTTTGCGCGAGTGTTAAAAATAGAAAGAAAGCCTAGATCAAGATAAAGTATAGCTTGAAAGTAACTTTAAGAAATGTGCAACAAACTTTGTAAAGATGAACTATACATTAGCTTTCGTTTTCTCGTACGAGCGTTTTGAAAATGCCGTAATTTGCATAATTTGCTTCGGGCCTTCGACCAGGTTTAGGCCGATTTTAAACATTCCTGTTTTTCGCAAAAACGGAGCTTCGCTGGATCTTTTGAATATTGTTTTTGAAAATAGTTTACCAAAAGGGTTTTTTTGGGGTGAAATTAAAAAAATTCGAATTTTTTGATCTGGCGCCGGATTCTCGATATTTACTGAGAACGGTTCTTAAATTTCTGCGTTCGCGTGTTACTGAAAAGCGCTATCTTCGAGAAACTTAACCTCATTAATTTATGCAAGTATATCTCACAGATTACGACAATTCGTTTGAACAATTTTGTTTCATTTCTTTTGTTTGACAGGAACTGACACAACTGCATTTGCAGGATTTCGCGCCTGCAAATGTTTGAAAGATCATTACCGTACGAATTTGTTTGGGGCTTGTAAGCCATGCGAGCTAGGATCAGAATGTCAAGATGATTACGCAAATCTTAAAGATGGCTTTTGGTGGAAATGGAGGAGTAAGACACACCGTGAGCTGTACAGAAACTTCACCAAAACGGCAAAGGACTCCTCATTTACTCCTGAATTACACAACGCGAATGATTCCCGTATCGTATACCCGTACACCATTCCTCATCCGTACAGATGCCCCATGACAGAAGCTTGTAAGGGAGGTTTGAATTCTTCATGTAATTCTGGTTATAAAGGACCATTATGTGCAGTTTGCAGTGATGGATATTATAAAGAACTGAAGAAATGCAAACTGTGCCCAACTAAAGGAGGGATGATCAGACAGCTTGCAATTATGGGGGCAATAGTTGTGTTACTGGTTATTATCGTCGTGTGGAGAAGCAAGAAAAAGAGCGAAAAGGATGCTGGACGATCTTTCCTTGACAAGGCCCTTGGAAGTATTAAAGTTACAATTGGCTTTTATCAAGTGACTTTTGGTATCATGGAAGCGTTTTCATACATTAAGTGGCCTGAAAGTCTCTCAGTTATTGGAGGATATTCCGAGATTGTTCAGGTTAACATTGTTCAGATAGCCCCCCTCCACTGCATCATTCCCAGCTTGAAATTTGACGCATTCGCAAGTCTTTTTGCAGTTATGGGATTGAATTTTGTAGCGGTGATTGTGGCCCTTGCAAGCTACGCCCTTGCCACTTGGAAATCAACACGACATATTTTGAATGAAGACGAAAAAATAAGGAAAAAGGAACAAATTAAAATGGTCGTAAAGAGAAATCTGTTTTTCTTTCTTTACGTGACCTACCTGAACACTTGCCTAAAAACAGCCCAAGTTTTGCCCCTTACCTGCCACAGGATCTGCGTTGACCAGGAGAAAGACGAAGGATGCGAGCAATATTTGAAAGCCGACTACAGTATTAACTGTAAAGGGGAGAGATACAACCGATTAGTCTTCGTGGGATATTGTTCCACTGTGTATGTGATTGTTCTGCCTTTTGCTGCCTTTATAGCAATTTGGAAACAGCAAAGAGCAGAAAGGAAAGCTAAGGAGGAAGCAACAAACGATACAAATGTTCTTGAAGACCAAAGCACCGTGCAAACCGCATTACGTTTCTTACACGAGAACTACCACTCTCGTTGTTGGTATTGGGAAGCGGTGGAGACAGCTCGAAAGGTTATTTTGACCTCTGGATTGATCCTTCTTGGTGGCGAGAGCAGAGCGTACATTGGATTGGCTTTGGTTTCGTCTGGACTGTTTAGTATGTATTTCGGGCTAAAAAATCCAATGAGTGATCCATTCGAAAACAAGCTTATGTTGTCTTCACTTGCCGTTACCTTCGTAAACCTTGCAATCGGAGCCGTCAGCTCAATCCCAGATGAAAGTTTTCCGTCATCAGTCGACCCAATCTTGGATACCCTTCTGTTCAATGGCTTGGTTTATGTTGCCAACTCCTTGGTGATTGGACTCCTTCTTGGTAAGTCAATAGCAAAAATTGTTTGTCTGTCACAGTCCTGCTCATTCCTCAACTAACACCTTATTCATGTGATGTTTCTTATCCGGCTTGACGTATTTTATCTTCTTTTTATAACTATTAGCACCGGCGTTTCTTATTTGTTTAAAAGGGAAATTGTTTTCTGTGGATGGCTTATAGAACGAGAAATATTCGGAGGAACTGGAGGTGAATGAACGAATAGCACCGGATATTCACTGATTGAGTAGTCAATCAGAATGCGTGAAAAACGCTATCCACTGTTTTAGTATAATTAAATTAAAAAGTATAAAAGGCTGGTTTACACGCTACCAGATTTGTCGGCAAGATTTTGTAAAGTAAACTTGTCGAACACAAGTAATTCCAGCCTGATTTTGTTTTTATTTTGGCCTGCCTTTTGACAAAGAAATGCAACCTAGAAACTGCAACATGTAAATTGACTGTCACCGAGGACTATGGTGTCCTATAATCGGCCCTATCGGGTAAAATTATATTTCGGGCTGTCCAATTAACCTTAAAAAATACCAAGGTGGTGTATAGGTGGGCAACTGAGTTTTTTTGTTTAGGAATAATTTGTTTTTTAGGCCTAATCTACTGTGATCGAAGATGATTGCTATTTTTTGGGTGCACGTTAAGACTATTAACTCGATGTAAAATTTGTTTAACCCTTCATTGTACTGTTTGCAAACTCTTTTTTTTCTCTAAAATCACTTAGCCTTCCCTTAAAATTCACATGAATGTGACCTAAAGTTAACCGATCTGTGGATTACAAGTTTATTGGTTGATTTAAATTATCAATTTATTAAAGGAAGCTTTGCTTTTAGCCTGGGAACTGGAAACGTATTTTCTGTGGTCGCTTCTCTCCCTCCGAAAAATAACGTCTGCGATCTCGAGCTGCAACACGATTGCCGTGAAGTCAGTGTTTATTAACCAATCATCATTCGGCTCTTATATTTGTGGAGCTAACACGCGAGAATAGATGGGCTCGGAGTTCACTAGAAGACACGTTTGCCAAAGTATGCGATATTTTTGGGTTTGAGAAGCTTAAACAAGCACCAAGAAGAAGCAATTCGACAAGGAGTTGAATTAAAAAGTGATGTTTATGAACGTTGATGCGGATTGCCGACTGGTTATGGATAGTCTGTCGCGTTCCAGGATTTGTTTCAATAGATAAATGTGAGAATAACATGTAATTGTTATTTTTCCGCTAGTCAGTCTTATGGAAGTTCAAGTGAGGCGTTTATCTTTGCTTGCAGTGCAACACGATATCGCTTAGTGATATCAGCTCGGCGGCGAACATAAAAAGATAAAAAGCTGGATAAAATTCTATCGTTTACGGATCACTAGAATCTTGGCTTGGTAACGTACGAAGGCGAAGAATGTTGGCAAGCAAATCGTACAAATAGTTGATGAAGCTATATTTTAGGCTGCAATTCATTCTTCTAAATTTAAATCTGTTCATCGCTATCCGTGAGAATTATACATCCTGAAACAAGACGAAACGAGCTGGGCCCAGCGTGATTCAACATTGCAGGAAAACATCACACTCACGGACTAAAGAAAATCGCTCAGTTATTCAGATCCAGAAGGCACTTTGGAGTAAATTAAAGAACCTAAAACCCTTATTTAGCCGCAATAAAGAGCTTTTCCCCTCAAAAGCGGTCACAGAAAATGATCTTGCATCATAGGACAAATCATCTTCCCGACCAGAAACAAAAACCGGTCAGTATAAAACATGGACTGCGGACTGCGGACTGCGGACTGCGGACTGCGGACTGCGGACTACGGACTGCGGACTGGGTATAAAATACGGATTAGGTATAAAACGCGGACTGGAAAATATGGACTGGGTATAAAACACGGACTAGGTATAAAACGCGGACTGCGGACTGCAGACTGCGGAATGGGTATTAAATACGGACCACGGACTACTTTGGTAAAAACGGTGTTAATTGGTTGTAGGTAAGGAAAAATAAAATCAAAAGATTGCTAAATAGCAAGACACGTGAGTTAAAGTTGTAAATACTCCTATAAATTCTTGGTGGAGGTGTGCCGCCCGGTTCTCTGAATCATGAGCAGGATCAAAATGCTATTTTCTTCACCCATTTTTAGATCTTGTCTCGGTCTCTATCAATCATGAAAAGGGTCAGGATCAGGGGGGTAATCCCTTATATAAGGGAAGGGTAGGCGTTTTTGGGCCTTTTTGGTCTGAAAACACTTTGCCCATTTTGGTCTGGAATCGGGTATGGTTTTTCGAGGGAACTACGGGAGCGTACATGAATGGACGTATTTATCGTTTCAATTCCAAATGAATAAGAACGAAATAGAAATGTGCGAATTCGAAATGCATTTGGAGAATTTTTTTGTTTCCGCTCTAACTTGGTAATGATGACATAATTTCAGCGTAATTATACCTAACCAGTTCCAGGCTCCGAGATAGCTGGGTCCGCTGAATTGAGAAAGCGCGAACACGAAAATAAAACGGGAAAAAACTGGGGAGTCTCTCCAACTATCTGAGAGCCTGGAACAGGCTAAATTAGGCCAGGACCGACAATGGGTATGGATTTTAGAGATCTGGTCTGAAAATGGGTGTGGAAAATAATATTTTTTGGTCTGCAATAAGGTCAGGATTCGGAGAACCGGGCACCACCCCCCACCAAGAATTCCCAGTAGTACCCTCCTCCGGGGATCAGGAGCAGGGTGTAAGTCATGTCATCATAATCATCGCTTGAAATATAACGTTGGATGACTCATTTAGGTTATTATTCACGCATGTGAGTAATCCCTCCCCCCTTGCCCTCTCCCCTAAATACCGCTTTGGTGCATTGCAGAATACCCTACATTGACCTTCTCGTCTGAGTTCTTCATTCAGTCCTCATACGGAATTGTGGCATTCGACAAGAATTTTACTGATCTGACTAACACCAATGCTATTTTTTTAATTCGGTGCTTCTTATTGGTTTAAAACTGCAAATTGAAATCTCTTCTACCTCCTTCTTTTTATAAAATTCAGAGTTAAATTTCAGTTGCCTTGAGTACCGGCATAACCTTCCTTCTCCGTGGGAAGAATAGAATACGTGAACAGCCGAGGGAATGTTAAAGCTGGGACTACTGTTTTTGCTAGTCCGCTTTCCATTTCTCTCAGTTTTACTTTTCTAAAGCTATTTTTATTTAGATAGTCCGTACTCCGCGTTTTATACCCAGTCCTTGTTTTACACTCAGTCCGGAGTCCTCATTTTATACCTAGTCCGTATTTTATACCCAGTCCGCAGTCCGGTTTTTATACTGACCGAAACAAAAACCACAGAAAATCAATAAGCGGGTCATGACCTCTCAGTGTGAAACAAGCGGCTAAAATAACATTTGCTCAGTCGAAACGTAGAACCCTCCAGCATCATCTGCCCGTCAGAGGAAAAACCCAATTGGAACAAGCAGCTTTTGGAATGAGGTAAAAGTCGTCCCTCAGGGGCGATGAGCAATGAGAAACATCCGCGTTTGCAGGCTATTGCAACCGACGTAAACAGAAAAATGGACACTGAAATCGACTCCAACTGAGGCCGATAAATTAACGCACAAATCTCCAATTCACTCTCGCTAATGATCTTCACTTTCTCCTTCAGACTGGAAATTTTACACTTAAGGGAAAAAGAAAAAAACAACATCCTTTGACCCAGGAAACTTTTTTCGGCGTTTCCCCTCTCATAGCTACATCAACAGTTGGTGGTCCTCGCGATTTCGCGCGTGCAATCAATGGCATCTTTCTGTCACTCAATTTAATTGGTTGAGGACAGAAGAAAAGAAACGACGTCCCGGAAATCGTTTCGCAGCTTGAGATCGCAGACGCTATTTTCGGGGAGAGAGAAGCGACGACCGGAAATACGTCTGCAGTTCGCAGGCTACTTCGCTTTTAGCCCTGGCTTAATCAACATACTATAGGAGTAATCGGAGCTTAGGAGAGTGCGTTCGATATGCATATGTTCGTATAGGTAACAGTTGAGGGGAAGGGTGGATGGTTCTTGCGATAAATAACTATGATTATACCCAGAGTAGTCCATCGATAAAAATCGGTCTCGATAAAAATCGATAGCAATCAAGTGATTTTTATCGATTGATAACGAAAGTCGGTGAAAATCGATAAATCAAATTGCTGTGTCAAATTGATATTATCGATTTTTCATGATTTTAACGATTTATAACGGTAAGTCCGACATTGTTGTGTTTTTGGCATAAGTTAAATAGCATAGCCGAGAAAACACGTGACGACCAACAACTGATCAACAAATAGGAAATAAGAAATGTGGAAACTATGACAGACAAAAAATTATCTCTAAAACCGTGACCGTTTTGTACATAATAACAGAAACGGTTCGGTTTAATTACATTCGCAGTTCTCGCAGGCAAGTACCACGAGAAATACAACCTTAGATAAAAGATTTCCCAGCCTGAATTTTAGACATCCTCTAGAGTGAAAGGGATGCCCGAAATTCATACTAAAAGATTTCTCTGGATAGCGTTTCACCGTTTTCCGTTATCAATCGAAAAAATCACTTGATCGCTAACGATTTTATCGATTTCGATTTTTATCTATTGGCTACTCCGGGAAGTAACTACACGCGGAACTTTTTTGAAAGGGCGGCAGATCTAAATCGTGAAAAACTGGGAAAAATATAAGACCTGGCCAACCTAGCAAACCTGACCAATATCTGTCATCCGAAGAAGACTTTATTTAATAGAATGCGGGTTTTAAAGAAAAGATAATATTTGTTTTAACTTTTTTAAAAAAAAGTGACAGTAAATTGTTTGATCCCTCGACTCTCAATTTCAGCTCAGTTGTCAACAAATTCACTGTTTTCATTAAATCAGTTTTCATTTTTGGATGAACAGAAGAACAGATGTATCTTCCGATAAAAATCGGTGGAATCGGTAAAATCAAGATAAATCGATAAACGAAACGAGTGTGTCATCGATTTCTACCGATTGGTCGATACAATCGATGCCAATCAAATCAGATTTACCGATTTTTATCGATTGATAAATCGAT